AAGGTAGATAATGAATTGTTAGAACTACTAAACTGAAGGGGTAAATCATTTGGTTCTTCATCTAGATTGCTTTAACACTGGTTTTAAGATTGATCACCTAGAAATCAGATCTTAGGTTGTTTAATAGATGTGGAAACATTGTTAATCACCAGAACTATTTTAGATGAGCAAAATAACTAATCACAAAGGAATTTGGATTAGTGGTTTTGTGAACATATCGAACCTGAACTATAATGCTTGCTTAGGTTGCTAGAATTTGCAAAAGAATTTGGAATTCTAGAATCTGATCATAGTTAATCTCTGCGATGGAAGTCGATTGGTTTTACATTCGTGTTTTCGAGTTCTAGAACGATTTTAATAAATAATCTTTTTAGTCCGTAGTCTGCGATTTATGTCAACCTGCGAATTTCTCATTGCCTAGCCTTGTCTCTATTCCTTTTAAGAACTCATAATCCGCTCATAATCTCGTTACTTTCATTTACTATTTAGTTTTATTTGTTATTGACTGCTTAGCTTCATTTGAATCTAAAGTCTGTTGAGTAATAGTCTTAAGTCCTTGTGGATCCGATCCTTAAGTACTACAATGATCTCTTAATTTGAGAGAGTATCTCTAAGGGTTAATTTGAGCATATCATGCACTCTAAAATTAGGAACATGGACTTCATTTTGATTTATTGTTAACATTTTCAAAGATATGAGTTCCCATTTAAAACCTCATCACCATGTGAAGTGTTTGTTTGCATGAGGGCAAGCAAAAGCTAAGTGTGGGGGTGTTGATAGCTTGCTATTTTAGATCATTTTAGGCTGTATTTCATGCATCTTTTCCTCTGTTTTTGCATTATAGTTTAGCATTTAGGTATTATTTGCACTTAGAATCAACATAGCATGCATTTAGCTTAGGATTGCATACATTTGCATGAATGTGCATGTTTGTGGTGGTTTTCAGGTGTTTTGGAGTTTCTTGGAGCTGAGGAAGGGATGGAAGCAGCTCATGATCAAATAAGATGTCATAAATGGAGTTCTTGCAAAGTCTGGTCAATATCGAGCAGAACACCCGTGGAGTGTGCTCGATGCAAGCAGCAGGACGAGAGGAAAAGGATCAGAACGAGGATTTCAAGCCGTTGGTCTGCATCGAGGAAGGACGTCGATATGCACTACACGGACCATATCGAGGTTGTATATCGAGCAGAACATCGACCATACGACCTCGATGCAACTCATTCGCCTTGACCACTTGACTTTTGTTAACCTTATCCTATCTTTTTAGGTTTTTTATGCTTCTTTTGGCTCCCTACTATAAAAGGGAAACCACAAAACATTATCTTTATCAAGTTCTATCTTATCCAAGTTTAGCTTTCTTTAAAAAAAACCTTCTCTAAACCTTAAAGGGCGATTTGCCTTAAGGATCTTTATCTTTAATGAAGTTTGCATTTTTATGGTTTAATCTTGTCTCTTAATTTTTGTTCTTGCACTTTGGTAGTTTAGATTTATCATCTTTGCATTTTAGCCTCATCTAGTTATGTTTAACTCCAAATCAATAGGATTAAACATGATTACTGAGTAGTCTTTACTTAGATTTAGGGTTCTAAGTAGGGAACATGGTGATTAAGATGTGATTAAGAGGTGATTAGGCTTGTTTAATGGTTCTCTGTTATCTCCTTCTCTTGCAAAGTGATTAATGTTGATAAAGCTTGCTCATTTAGATTGAATATGGTATTAATTGATGCATATGGTTCACTAAATGGTTTGTTATCTCATCTTTTAAGTATGGTTCGCTTATTTGGCTTGATAGTTTGGCTTGGTCTATGTTTCCTTTGTTCAGTGACACCAAAGTGATAGTTCACCATTGCTAGATGATTCGCTTATGGCTAGATAATTCTGGTTTTGAGATTCTTGCTTGATGGTTAGATAGTATGCATCAAAAGATCTTGCCTTTGTTTCATTCCTTTCATTGCTTAGCATTGTTAGGATGTTGCATTTGTGCGCTTAGATCCATAGACTTGATTGGTGTATAGCTGCGTAGGTCCTTATTGGTTCACAAGATTGATAAGTTGATCTGTATTCTTGCTTGGGTGAGAGAGTAGTTGCTTGATTGGTGCATCTCTTAGGCTACAATAGTTCTGATCTTTATGCTCGTGGTTGAAGGATATGCCATCATAAGTGGGTCTGACACTTCGATCTTGTTGAATATGAATTGCTTATTGATGCCAAGTGGTTCTTTTTAGATACTTTGTCTAGGAGCATAACATTGAGAATTGCTTGCTTGTTAATGCTTGTTGAGTATCTTAGTAGAAATCTCCTTGTCACTCTTGAAAACTACTGTCCCATAATTGCTTAGCACTTTGAGTCTTGCTTTTAATTAATTGTCTTCAAAGTCATCTTGCTTAGTTCTTGTTTCAGTAGTCATTTCTTGCTTAATTCTTGTTTAATTATTGCTTTAAGTTTTTGTTTAGTTCTAAGCATTTAAGTATCATTTGCACTTAGAATCAACATAGAATGCATTTAGCTTAGGATTGCATACATTTGCATACATGTTCATGTTTGTTGTGGTTTTCAAGTGTTTTTGGAGTTTCTTGGAGCTGGGGAAGGGATGGAAGCAGCTCATGATCAAAGAAGATGTCAGAAATGGAGTTCTTGCAAAGTCTGGTCCATATCGAGCAAGCATATTGAGTAGAACACCCGTGGAGTATGCTCGATGCAAGCAGCAGGACGATAGGAAAAGGATCAGCACGAGTTTCAAGCTGTTGGTCTGCATCGAGGAAGGACGTCGATACGCGCTACACAGACCATATCAAGGTCGCATATTGAACAGAATATCGACCGTACAACCTCGTTGCAACTCATCCGCGTTGACCACTTGTCTTTTGTTAACTTTATCCTATCTTTTTAGGTTTTTTATGCTTCTTTTGGCTTCCCACTATAAAAGGGAAGCCACAAAACAATATCTTTATCAAGTTCTATCTTATCCAAGTTTAGCTTTCTTTAAAAAACCTTCTCTAAACCTTAAAGGGTGATTTGCCTTAGGGATTTTTATCTTTAATAAAGTTTGGATTTTTTTATGGTTTAATCTTGTCTCTTAATCTTTGTTCTTGCACCTTAGTAGTTTAGTTTTATCATCTTTGCATTTTAGCCTCATCTAGTTATGTTTAACTCCAAATCAATGGGATTAAACATGATTAGTGAGTAGTCTTCCTTAGATTTAGGGTTCTAAGTAGGGAAAGTGGTGATTAAGATGTGATTAAGGGGTGATTAGGCTTGTTTAGTGGTTCTATGTTATATCCTTCTCTTGCAAAGTGATTAATGTTGATAAATCTTGCTCCTTTTGATTGAATATGGTATTGATTGATGCATATGGTTCACTAAATGGCTTGTTATCTCATCTCTAAGTATGGTTCACTTATTTGGCTTGATAGTTTAGCTTGGTCTATGTTTCCTTTGTTCAGTGACACCAAAGTGATAGTTCACCATTGCTAGATGATTTGCTTATGGCTACATAATGCTGGTTTTGAGATTCTTGCTTGATGGTTAGATAGTATGCATCAATAGATCTTGCCTTCGTTTCATTCCTGTTCATTGCTTAGCATTGTTAGGATGTTGCATTTGTGCGCTTAGATCCATAGACTTTATTGGTGTATAGCTGCCTAGGTCCTTATTGGTTCACAAGATTGATAAGTGGATCTGAATTCTTGCTTGGATGAGAGAGTAGTTACTTGATTGGTGCATCTCTTAGGCTAGAATGGTTCTGATCTTTATGCTCATGGTTGAAAGATACGCCATCACAAGTGGGTCTGACACTTCAATCTTGTTGATTATGAATTGCTTATTGACGCCAAGTGGTTCCCTTTAGATACCTTGTCTAGGAGCATAACATTGAGAATTGCTTGCTTGTTAAGGCTTGTTGAGTGCCTTAGTAGAAATTCCTTTGTCACTCTTGAAAACCACTATCCCACAATTGTTTAGAACCTTGAGTCGTGCTTTTAATTAATTGTCTTCAAAATCATCTTGCTTAGTTCTTGTTTTAGTAGTTATTTCTTGCTTAATTCTTGTGTAGTCATTGCTTTAAGTTCATTGGTAATTTCTGGCACTTGCATTTAGTTTATGTTTTCCTTCCATTGCACCATTAGGTTGTTAGACTTGTTCTTATATAATCAAATCTCAAATCTTGCTTAGCTTACAGTATTATTTGTATCTCATCTTCCACAATTTGGTTTAATACCTAATCCTTATTGTACAACTAATTAGAGACTAAAGACATTTCAATTTAGAGATCCAAAAGTCCTGTTTCAAATATATAACGTTTTCAGTTGAAGAAAAAAGATTTCACGGAACTATCGATTTTTGTATCGATGCATAAGAGAACCAACAAACATGATTCACCATAAAATATCTTTAACTAAAAAAAAACATGATTCACGATGAACTCTATATTTTTAAGTGATTTGTATTCATGGTAATACAAGAAGTCAAAAACTCGAATTTATTTTCACGGTGCCGTAATCAGATTTCCAAAAAAAAAAAAAAAAAAAAATCTAGATTCGTTTATTATTCTGTGAAAAAAAGTTCTCACTGGAAGCATCTTGCAAATAAGGCCGGTTTAAGCACTTAATTACATTTTTGAAATTTAGCTTTGCATTTATATTTCGGATTTTTGATTTTCTAACTTACACCCCAAGAAATATTACTTCACCAATTTAGTTTTCAACCAAAACCAAAATCTGCAAAATAAAAAATAAAATAAAATAAAAGTTTAAGTTTACAATTATCTTTAATGATATAACCGAACCGACGACCAAAACAAAAAAAAAAGTTATTAATTCAAGTTTATGATTTGTGAAATCATGACCGAATCAAGTTGGTGATCGTGAACAACTCTAGTTTTGTAGACAGACTTATCAGTGAATATCTAGCTTTAATTTCTCCCACGTGAATCCACATTACGTGCTTGTAAATAAGAGAAGGTGGTATTGAAATCGACAATACCAATGACATTTTCACTCAATATTTTAAGATGCTCGTGCATAACGTGTAAAAACTAATACATATCACTTTTGACCGTTCCAATAATACTTAAGAACAATGATATAATGTAAAGGCTATAAAACAGCAGGCATGGATGAAAGCATAACATGCAATACAAACAGAAACAACAAAATTCCTCGTTAAAGACCGATTAAAGGCTGATTCATGGCGATATCTCATGTTCAACCTGTTCTTCTTCTCCTCGCATCACTCTTCTTTATACCCGCTCTGCATGCTCTTGATTTCGAATACTGTAACAGTAAGTATCGCTTCTAGTCTTGATTTTTCTTTCCGAAAATTCAAATATTTTTCATAGTCAGTTTTACTTTTATATACTTCTTCCGTTTTATAAAGAGTATCGTTTTATAGTTTTATTTTTGTTTCACAAAAAGTGTCGTTTTGTATTTCTAATACAATTTTTAATTAAAAATCCAATTTTAACTTTGTTATTTTAATATATTAATTAGAAAGAGAAAATTGTTTAATGTATATATATGAAAAGACTTTTTATTAAATTTCTTAATCTGTGTGAAAAATGTCAAAATGACTCTTTCTGAAACTGAGGAAGTATCTTGTAAGAAATGTAAGTGCTCGGTTGGTTTAAATTAAAATATATTTTCTTTTGCTAATTCTTTATGTAAAAGTAAAACACCACCTACTCATATTTCTTTTCTTTTTACCTATCAATTCAATTGTATTTTTGGATTTATTTTTTTAACAAATATGAAATATGTATAGATCAAATTCTTCTTTTTTTTTTACTTGTTTTGTCTTTCACTTCCACAATTAAATTTTTGCAACGATTGTAGAAAGTGGATACGAATTTGGTAATGTCTCTAGTGTGGAGATATCTCCGAACCCCGTTGATCTAGACGACGAGCCAAACATTACGGTATCCGGTTATGCAAGTATGTTATTTTATTTTATTTTATTAATTTTCCCAAGTTTCAACTCTCTCCTTTCCTTTTATTTTATAATTTTGTGATATTTTTTCTAATGTATAACAGATCAAGGCATCGATTATGGATCTATAGAGGTGCATGTTACAGCTGGGGATGTTACTCACCTTATGAGACGCTACTTCCTCTGTGTGGTTGGTGATTCATGCGCTATTGAAGCTGGCACCAACTTTGTGTTACCTCTTACCGAAATTCCTGTAGATTATACTGAGGTAATTGATGCTTATACTCTTTGCATATTATATAAATAAACACAAATTAAATCTGAGTGATCTGGGTTCATCTCAAACCCTAGGATATGTTTTTGTTTTAACTGGAGATTCAGGGCCGAATCCCACATTAAATCTTTGTTTTAAAATTGAACATTTAGCTATTCAGTCGGATTTAGATTGGTTTTTTTATTGGGTTTTTAATTCATATATTTTAGTACTAGAATATAGAACCTATTCAAATATTATTTTTTAGATCGGATTTAATTTGGTTCTGTTCGGGTTCAAATCAGGCCCGGCTCAAATTTATAGTGTATACTGGGTCAAAAAAAAAAAAGGAACCTCATTTAATATGTATTTTCATTTTTTTTAAACGGGTGTTCAAATGTAAAGAAAATTTACCAAAATTCAGTTTGACTTTGTGTATTTGCACTTTGGGCACAAGTCCAGAATTGGGTTTAGTTCAAATATGTTTCGGTACCTGAATTACCTGTAATTTATGCAAAACATCCAAAATGTGAAACATTGAATACTTTTGTTAGTTAATAGGATACATACACAATAACCAACAATGAGTAAAATCGTATTGAGAGAATCTTAGGACATGTTTTTTTTTAACGCTGAAAAAATTATAATCCTCTTTCAGATCTAGAAAGATTATACGGTTTCGGTTCATAACTTTGTAGTAATAGAAAAAATATTATTCTCTGCATTTTTACATTTCTGCTTGATTTGCCTCTCTAACCCTCCTTTTTTAAAACATGTGAAGGGTGCGGCCAAGTATGTGTATTCCATACGTTTGATTGATGACGATGTCAAAGACGCCGAAGAATCAATACTAAAATTATGTGTCCAGTTCGAGTTACCTCTAATAGATCCCAGATCGGTTTCTGTTTTGTCAAGTTGATTGGTGGAAAATATATTTTCAAGTCTTTATATGAGTCTTGTCTCTCTGGTTCTCTCTACTTGCATATTTCCGCTTTTGATGTAACAATAATATGCAGTAAATAAAATCAAAAATCCTTAACATGGGTTGAAATATATCTTTTGTTGATTAATTAATTTGATATTTCAAATCAAGCTGAAAATGATAATGACTGAAAAACAGAGTTGAAAGGAGTGGCAACAAAGCTGAGTGACCATCCATTATTAGAGAACTCTTCTCGCCGGTCTTACTCTGAACCATCGATAAATAACACATTTAATTTAGGGTATCTACATCAGTTAGACTTCAAGAATTTTTTACTAATATAATAATAATATTTTGATATAATTAACTTGATATTTAATTTTAAATTAAACCAATTAAATGAATACAAATTTAAAAGTAGTTTATCAAGTCTCTCAAATGATCTTTCATACAGATACTTTGAATTTCTCAGTTTCTTGTTGTTTTAGGAAGATTTGATTTCTATTTTGAAGCCGAAAGGGTGAAACAACTCAAAGCTCTCCGAGGTTTGAGGGCGAAGGATGTAGCATGCGAAGATAGCTATTGAAGATAGGAAAAACAAGATTATTAGTGTTATTATCTCAGTAACAATCCAAAAATTATAATTTTTTTTTTTGAAATAGGTCTTCATGTTAAAATGCAAAAAAAACAAAAAAAACATACAAGCCCAGTTAAAGCTAGAGTAATATGAACTTAATTCAGTACAATAAGTTTTAACAACAGAATCTAAGCCTAGTTGCCACACATTGAAGATCAAAGATAAACCACATTTGGGAGAGAATCATTGGGGGGGGGGAGGAGGGGGGAAGTGAATCAACCCGACGAAGTAAAACGCAAGAGATTGGCAAGGCCATGAGTACCCGATCAGTTAATCATGGAGGAGCTGATTAGGCTGTGAGGAGCCATTTTTTGAGGAGATTTAACGCTAGCGAGGGGTTTGATTCCCTGAAACTTGAAATTTTGTTGCGCACCAGATGGTCTACCATTTTCACAATTGTGTTCTCAGTTCAATAGATCTATCGATGAAGGCGATTGTTTCGCCCTGTCCAGATGAAACAGAGAACAACTTGCCTACTAAGAAGAGCTAGGCATCTTCTGTTCTTACCACCAGATAGGTTGATTAGTTGTGAGGTGGAGCTAACCCAAGAGCGTTGAGGATTAATTTCCGTTATGTGTGACACACGAGTCCAGACGGACCAAGAGTAACCACATTCGAAGAAGATATGATTCCACATTTAGGGGCGGAATTGTAGAGGAGGCAAAGCAGGTCTGTCTGGAGACCTCAACTCAGAATTCTATCTCTAGTTGGGCAATGATTCAGCATAAAAATCCAAGCCAGAAAGCTATGTTTCGGGACGCCTCTTTTATTCCAGATTATACTATCCCAAGGGAATGTTAATAAGAGCTCTCGAAGTTGATTGTAAACGTCGCCAGTTGAATACGCCTTTCTCAGGATATCCTCAATAACCCATTCATAAGTACCTTCCCCTTCTGATAATTACACTGTTGTGAGATAAGTCTGAAGATTCACAATGTTCTCTGATCTTGCAGGGGGTAGAGCCCAATACCCACTGCGGAAGATGCTTGAGACGGTTGTATTTTGGAAGATACCAAGTCGAGATGGTCTTCCTGGTGTAGCTAGAAACGATAACAAGAAACCAAAAGAAGTCCAATTTTCAGAACCAAGTTGTATTTCCATCACAGACTCTTCTCTTTATCCAGGTGAACGCCACTTCTCTAAGCTTAAGAAGCTTACTAGGAAACCAAGAAAAAATTTGTTGTGGCTTTTTTAACCGAAAGTTATGCAGGCACCCTTCAAGAATTTTCTGCTTGAACCAAGCAACCCAGACCGACCCTGCTTGGAAGAAGAGAAGCCAGACGAGTTTGAGAGTACACGCTTTATTCCAAATGGTAAGATCCTTGATTCCCAAACTGCCTTCATTTTTTGGACGAATCACTTGTGCTCAAGAAACTCTAGCTGTATGGTTACCCTCTACACTCTCCTTCCACAAGAAAGCACTACATATTTAGTTTATCTTTTTAATGCAGGCTTTCGGCAGGACAAAAGTTGAACAACAGAAGTTGGAGATACCTGCAATAACTGTCTGCATAAGTTGAAGCCTACCAGCAAAGGACAGAGATTTGGCACTCTAGCAGGTAACTCTTCGTCGCACTTGATGTAGCAAAGTTTCACAGCTGAGAAGACTTAGCTTTTTGGTGCATAGGGGTACACCCAAATAACGAACAGGCAGACTCCCATTAGGCATACCCGTGGAGAAGCTGATGGTGTCCTTTTCATGCAGTGTAAGACCCGAATAGAAGAAACTTGACTTTTGGACACTTATAGCTAGGCCAGAGCGAAGCTCAAACTCCCAAAGAACTTGGAGAATACTTTGCAAAGAAGTCAGAAAGCCTTCAATGAAGATCAGAAGATCATCCATAAAGCACATATGAGTAAGTTTTGACTTCTCACACTTAGGATGATAGTTAAACCGTCCTTCCTCTGCTGCCTTGTTTAGCATGTGAGAGAGACAGTTCATAGCTATGAAAAATAAATAGAGAGATAATGGGTCACTTTGCCTTAAACCATTTTAACCTTTGAAGTACCCCTGAACTGTTCCGTTGTAGGCGATAGTGAAATGAGGAGTAGCTACGCAAGCTCTAAGCCAAGAGATGAATTATTCCAGAAGAGATAGTCATTTTAGTCAGTTAAAGAGAAACTCCCAAGATAGGGTATCAAAGGCTTTAGCAATGTCCACCTTTACTGCGATTCTCTTAGGACCTTTATCTTTATGGTATCCATTGACTAGTTTACCAGCTAGAACCATGTTTTCAACAAGTAGTCTGTCCTTAACAAACACTGTTTGATTTGGCAGGATTACCGTAAGGAGCAAAGGCTTAATTCTACTGACCAGCAGATGAGAGAACTTTATAGACTGTGTTGAGACAAGCGATTGGCATGTAGTCAGCTATTCGGGAGGCACCAGGGAACTTGGGAACAAATATAGCTGAGTTGGCGGAGGACGGCAGAAAAGACGAGATGAAGAAGTCCCTAATCGAGCAGGTAACTTCTTCTCCTAGAAAACCCCAAGCAGCTTTGTGGAAACCGGATGTAAGACCATCAAGACCCTGAGCTTTATTTGGATTTAGTTTAAATATGACCCTAGTGATTTCCTCCGCTGTAGGGAACAAAGTTAAAGACAAATCTTAGGCAGGGGAGCAATTGTAATGCAGCAGATCCAAGAATCAGCTAGGGAGCGACTCAGTGACAGTGGGCCATAGCAGTCTGGGGCAAGGATGGACTTAAAATGGTTTATAGCATGATCACTCATAACCAGAGGTTCGTTGATGATCAAACCATTACTTAAAATGAAGGACCGGACCGAATTATAGCTTGCCCGCATCTGAGAAACTATGTGGAAGGAAGATGCATTCTGGTCATCTAATCTTAGCCAGTTTGTTCTTAATTTTTGTTTGAAGTACATTTCCTCAATTATCCGCAGGAAGTTCCACTTATCATGGCAAGCACGCTCATCCTTATATAGCTGAGGAGAAGGAGACTGGAGAGCCTGTATCTGAATAACCTGGAGCTGATGGTAGGCCTCTGAAATCCTCACTTGAATTTGAGAAAAGTTACACCTGTTTAGTTATTTTAGAGCTCCTATGATCATTTTTTTGCTTCCAACAGAGATTTGATAGAGTAAAACGTCTGACTTCAAGCTGAGCCCAAGCATCAAACACCACCTGCAAGAAACTCAGATGTTTTATTAATTAATTGAAGAACTTGAAGGGATGAGTTCCCACTGTTGGCTGGGGCACTGCTAGATCAAGCATACATGAGAAATAGTCAGAGATCATAGGGGGCAAGAAAGCAACTGAACTTGAGGAAAGTTGGAGACAAACTGCATGTTCAAAAGAACACTATCAAGCTTTTTCGCAATTGGGGAAGAAGGCCGACAGTTTGTTCAAGTGAAGAGCGGCCCTTGATACCTCAAATCAAACAGTCTCATCTGATTAAGGCAGTCTCTTAAGTTTATCATTTGTTATACAAGGCAGTTTACATTAGGATCTGAATCTCTGCATGGTCAACAATTTGGTTTAGATCTCCTCCACCTATCCACGGATACAAATCAAGCTTGAAAAACTGAAAAGCATCCAATAATTTGATCCACAAATCTGATCTCTCTTCTGTTAAATTGGATGCATAAATCGCAGTATAATATAACTGATCCCCATAAGGTAGCTAACTTCGCAGGTAATGGACTGACAGGAAATAAGCTTAACGGTAAAATCAACTGTATCTTTCCAAATAAGAATAATATGGCCATCTTCATCCGAGCTGTGATTAGAGGTAAATTTCCAACCCTGACAAGTAGTAGACATGAAGTGGTATAAGTTATGATCTTTTATGTGTATTTCTAAATGGCTCCAAAAAGAGGTTGATGACTAGCATTACAAAAATAAGTGAATATTATGACGAATAATTTATGACAAATTGTTTTGTTATAGTATTGTGATAATTTACATACGAAATTATGACGAAATTATTAAGTAATAAAAGTGTTACTATTTTGTCATAGTATTATGCTTAAATTGAAGGTAACAAATTTTTGTCACTAATTAAACAAACTTGTTATGAAATATATAGTCATAAATATTGTTATGGATTTGTGATAAAATCTAGTTACTAAATTATACAATTTTTGTGACTAAACTTAAGTTATTTATAGCTACATATATTTTGTAAGTATTTCGTCATAATTAGTTACTATTTTAGTGACATTTGCATTTGGTAATAATATTATGATATAATTATTACTATTTTATGATAAAATTTCATAAATACACATTAATTAAAAACTTCAAAAATTCATAATAAATCGAAAATATAATAAATGACATAATAAAGAATAAAAATATTATTTACATTTGTCACAAAAATACGTAATAAAAAAAAGACAAATGAAATAATACAGGATACAATATTTATTCCAGTTAATTAAAAAAACAAATAAATCTTACATATTTTTGTAACTATATTGATAATTTGGTTCTTTTTCTAAGCTCATTTATATTTTTCACATATTCAAATATTAGCTACAATCATATTATCATCGAATAATATATATATATATATATACACATTCATAAAGAATAAATATGGTATATTATACTCACCCTATCGAAATGAAAA